GGAGGGAAGGGAGGTGTAGAAAGGGGGAATGGATCACAGGGAGCTACATGTAACCTCCTCTCTGGAGGATGGGCATCAGAGGGGTAGGTGAAGGGAGACACCAGGCAGTGTAATATAAGATATAATAATAATTTATAAATTATAAAGGGTGCATGGGGGAGGAGGGTAGAGGAAGGGAGTGGGAGGGGGGAAGGAAAATGAGCTGATTCCGGGAACCCAAGAGGCAAGCGAATTTTGGGAATGATGAGGGCAACAAATGTAAAGATGTGCTTTACACAATTGATCTATGTATTGTGATGAATTGTATGAGCCCCAATAAATTGATTTTTTTTAAAAAGAGAAGATTTTACCATTACAAGGGTTGATGTCAGTTTTTGTTCACTCAATACTCACCCTTCTTTACACATTAACAGATTTTACTGGAAATACCTGGGTCTCTGCCTAGATGTTTTTTCCTGGCATAGAAGCAGGCATAAGGCAGGATCAAAATGTCAGCGCATGAAAGCTTCAAGATACAGCCTTCAAGCAATGATAGACAAAAGTTAGGGCTTTATCTTTCTAGTCACTTCGAAAAGCATTTGAATTTGTCTGTGGTAGTGATTCACTGTGGGGGTGGTCATAATTTTAATAATGAAAATAGAAGATGTTTATGTTACCCTATAGGACAGAGTAGAACTGCTCCTGTGTGTTTATGAGGCTGTAAATCTTTACAGAAGCAGAAAGCCTCATCTTTTTTCCCAAGGAATAGCTAGCTATTTATTTTGAACTGCTAACCTTGTGGTTAGCAGCCCGGCACAGGACTCCTTTTACAGGTATTTTTGTTTTTTTGTTTGTTCATATTAGGGTTTATCTCAGAAGTGTTATCTCATTGGGGTCACCCTCTTGAAGTTGTGTTATGTTTTACAGTATATGAAACCCAGGATTGATGAATCTATAGGGACACCAAGTAGAATAGGGTTTGGAATGAATAAGTGGTGATGGTGGGGGGTTGTCATAAAAGGGAGACATGTCACAGAGTTCATGAAGGAAAAGAATACTGATTGTGTTAACAATTGCACAATACTGCTTGATGTGATTGAACTATGGAAAGATAGGATATGTGTATTAACTTCCAATTGTTAATAATTTTTTAAAGGTCCCATGTGTAGTTTAGATATTACTGTAGTTTCAATGGATTCAAAATTTACCTCTATAACAATTGAGCTAAGTGGATCTCTAGGGAGTACTACTGGAGCATCAGAGGCTAGATTTGAGAATACAAGTAGTTCTAGACATTAATTACTGGGAAAATGAAGATATCCTTTTAGTTATAATACTTTAGAAAATCACATAGAGCCCTTTGTATTTAATGAATTTGAATCTATGAAAATTCATCTATATTTGAATTGAAATTGACTCTCTCACTTTACAAAGTCTTTCAGCTATAACATTCAGAGTACCCCTTTTTTTTTTCACCAAAATTTTCCACCACCACCCCAAACTTGCTATTATTAAGTCAATGCTGACTCATAGTGACCCGCTGTGGGTTTCTGAGACTGTTAAGGGGAGTAGAAAGTCCTATCGTTCTCCTGCACACAAGCTAGTGGTTTCAAACTGAGACCTCTCAGATTGCAGTTCAATGCATAACCACTCCACTACTTGGGCTCCTTCTTTTGTTCATCAGTTTCCATTTTATAACATTTCTCCTGACAATGAAGTTTCCATTTAACTTTCTAAATTTTTACTAAGTTGATTTTTCTCTCTTACATTTTGAATTTTAAGTTAATCTTTGAAAATCTAACAATACATCTAATTCTATTAGCTATTAAACACTGTCAGGCAGTCTTACTCTGTTCTAAAAGGTCATTGTTGGTCAGACTTGGCTTGATGACAGTGCTTTTTGGTTTTGTTTTCTTTCTTTTCTGTTTTCTTTTTAAATGATGACAAACTTTGGTGATTTTATTCAACTGTGAAAATGAGATTGAGTCACAAACCACACAACAGAGAAGCAAAGAGGAACAATGACAATGGTTTGAGAAGAACAGCATGGAAGTATGATGAGGGCAGGAAGACAATTCGATTTCCAAGCTTTTAAAGGTAGTTCAGAAAGTCATTAGAGTTAAGGCACAAGGATAGTGCAATGAGGTTCTTGCAAGCTTTATACCACTAGGTCACTGATTTCTCCTTTGTTGCAAGCTCAAATGCATGTGTTTATTTTGCATGTTTCATCATATAATTTATATCAACATGACTGGAGTGATTGGGGTTTGAGGATCAAACATCTTTAGGGTTCAGGATTCTTAGGACCTGCTCCCGGATCTGCTTTGTTCTGACTCCATAGATAACAGGGTTAAGTGCAGGTGGGACAACCATATAAAGGTTGGCAAGAAATATATGAATATACCCAGGGATGTTATGACCAAAGCGATGTGTCAGAAAGGAGAAAAATGCAGGAATATAAAAGATGAGCATGACACATACATGAGAGCCACAGGTATTGAGAGCCTTGAATTGGGCATTCCATGATGGTAAATGGAATACTGTGCAGAGTATCCTTATATAGGAAAAACCAATTACAATAAGATCAATGAATCCCATAGACAAGGCAACCATACCAAACAAATTATTGGCTCTGGTGCTGGTACAGGAAAGTCGAGCAATGCCCATGTGCTCACAGTAGGTATGAGGAATAATATGAGCACCACAGAATGACAGCAGTAAGATGAGAAACACAAAAGGAATGACAAAAATTAAAGATCTCACCATCATGATTATACCTAATATGCTCACCACTTTGTTGGTGAGAATCATGGTATATCTCAGGGGATTGCAAATGGCAACATAGCGGTCTATGGCCATGATTGTCAGTACCCCAGACTCCAGACCAGTGCACAGATGTATCATGAACATCTGTGTGAGGCAAGCACCAAAAACTATTTCTCTAAAATTGAACCAAAAGATGCCCAGCATCTTGGGGATAGTAGCAGTGGACAGGCTTAGATCAGTGGAGGCCAACATTGCTAAGAAGTAAAACATGGGCTGATGGAGACTAGGCTCAGTCTGAATTAGAAAGAGAATTACGATGTTCCCCAGAAGGGCAATCAGATATACTGCACAGAAGGGGAAACCTATCCATATATGAAAAGTTTCCAGGCCTGGGATCCCCAAAAGGACAAAGGAATAAGGATGGAATTGGGTGGTGTTGTGAAAAGTCATCTTCATGGTTGATGACCAATTTTATCACAGTTGCCCATTCACATCATTCGTCCAGGTCATGCATATACATGGAGTTCATTTTCTGCTTCAATATTTGAAAGAAGACCCTAGAGTAGAGAGTGACAAGAGATTAAAGAGGTTTCTCAAATCAGAACTCACCAAATTATTTTTTTATTCCAAGGTGCACCCCAAATTTGATGCTTTGCTGAAATCCTAGTATTAATACACTTCTACTAACATTTTAGTTAAACATCTTCAATGACACAATGAGCAGTAGGTTGAAGTGGTAAGGTTGTAGTTTGAAAAAAATCTTGATGATAGGTGTGGACCTAAATAAATGATCATTGAGCTAGAGAATGACATATAACATAAATTGGAAGGGTACAGTGTTGAATTCCAGGCTTCTGTCTTGGACAAATGTATGGATATTGGAAATGCTCACTGAAATATGAATGAAAAAATATATTTGATTTGTGTAATGTTAACCTCATTCTGAAAGACATTGATCTGAAAATCATATAGACTAAAGTAGGGATGCTCAGTATGAGTGATCTTAGTTATGAGACCATTGTTGGTACAGACAGTTTATGAGCATCAAAAATCACTACCATTCGAGAGGAGACTTTCTTTGTCCTAAAGATGTACTCCATTTAACGTATATGTGCTTATGTGGTTTCCACTTGTCCTGCTATGATTTCAGAACCTACACCCTATCCACAATGCTTAGTGGTCACTGAAATTGCTGCTGCTGAAAATATTCAACTAGAAAAAATAAAATAAAAGTGACTATGTGTAAAGGACCAGCTTTCATTAACCCCATAATTTTTATATAGTCTCCAAGCTGAATTTTTTCAGGCTATTCTGAAACATGTTGCAATTCTAAAGTTTCACTCACATAGATCTCAATTGCATGACCCAAGTCCAGTGCTTAACTCAACATCTGGCACAAAGCAGCAGAACTATTCTGGATGAGTCTTGAGTGTCAGTTGCTTGTTATTTTTACTTCTTGGGAAGCTTTCCAGCATACGTTCAGATTCTGAGCAAGCCCTACATGATGCAGCCCTGAAACCACAATTGGTGATGAGTTTTTCTAATCAATTTTCTCCAGTACTTAGATATTACATTTCTACTGACATAATTATCTCATTTTCACTTGGTTTATTTGCTTTCCAGACTAAATGACATTTAATAAAAGCTCACAAATTAAAAATTAATTTTAATGTTCTCAAATAGTATAAGCTTTTAATAAGTAATATAGAAATGTAAATTCTGGAGGTTAAACATATTTCCAGAAGTAGAAAGTTGAAAATACTTTGGATCAGTTATAAATCTCTATAAACATAGAAATATGAATATTCAGATTCTAATAAATAATATTTTATAATTAAAATGATTAAATATTAAAATAAGTTTAAAACATACACTAAATTACATTAGCAAGAAACTTATTTATTTAAGTAGTTGTAATTTAGTGTTTATCAGAACAGAGTGTCATTCTTTGGAAATATTTTGAGTCTTGAATTCTCTAAGACCTTCTGAGTCAAAAATGATTCTAACATATATTTAATAGATGTTTATTATTAGAGTTGAAATAGTGTCATTGTAGGTGGGGACAGAATGTGGTGATGCAAAAGATAATCCCTTTTTATAACTTTTCCATCCTAAATAGTAAGACGTGCATGCAAAGAAAGGTTTACAGTATTATTGATAAGGGAAACTATTATGGAAATAAAATTAAATGGCAACATTAAAAAGAAAGAAACCCCAGTTATTACAGACACAACACCAAACAGAACTTTCAAATAGAAGATATGCAAATAGTCAATGTGCAAATGAAAAGTGGCTCACAACATTAGCCATCAGGTAATAGAATTCTCATTTCTAAAGTTCCTATTCACACTTTAAGAGAGCTAAAATAAAAGTGAATGTCATTTCTATATTTTGATGTGCATGTAGAATAGCTAACCTTTAATATATTGCCATAAAGTATGTGGAATATGTAGGACTATTAAGAAAGCCCGTTGTCACATTTCTTTAAAAAATTTAAAATATCTTTGCTACTTTTTAGCCACACTACTCCTGGTCACTTGCCAAAGAATAGTAATATTTAGTAGATGTGCTAAATAAGCAATTAGATATATGTATGTGTGAAACTCAAGGAGAAAACTTGGCTGATTATATATAATTTGGCATCCTTTGGTGGATGATATATTTGGCAACTTATATATATATTAATATATAATTATATATATCTTAATATATAATTGTATATAAATTATATATTAATATATATATAAAGAATGAAAAGGGGGAAATGGACAATAACAAGAAACAGGAAGAAATATTTTAGCATAGTTATTCTAGGGCAGCTAATCAATATATCATTTTTAAACATATAGGGTTAGGGTTGGTAATCAATAGTTTGTATTGATGTATGTTGTCGTGTGTTGTATGTATGATCCAAGTGTATTTATGAGAGAAAGACAAACAAACACAGAGAAGGGACAGAAGAGGAAGGAGAAGAGAAAGCAATGCCTTGGAAAAATAAGCATTGGATTGCCATAGGTAAATGGGTATACTATAAGCCCGGGTGGATGCAACCTTGGTCTTCATGAGATTTAGAGATGCTCTATGCCACTCTTTCCTGCTATATTTTCATCAACTAAAGATTGTTTCCCTTAACATATTGTCTTCTTTCATGAGGTTTATAATTAGTCCTTGAAGTCATTTTAATCTTTTTATCTCTCTATATTGAACCTGCTTTTACTGTCTTTAGTCTTTAGTTTTTATTGGGATTCAATGCTCTACCTATAGCCAACTTACCAGCTGTTTAGCAGCTCTTTGGTCTTGCAGAAGGGCCACTTGTTGGACTGTTACAATCTGTGAGCTTTGTGAAATGTATTTATAGAGAGGAGTCAGAATTTTTCATGAATCTTCATCCTCTCAGGTGAATTCCCCCTTCTCCTCCCAACACCAGACTCCCCAGGGTCTGGTATTGGGAAATAAGAGTTTCTGGGTTGCAACACTCAAGGCTCATTGCTTTCCTTAAGTTAATTGAGGTCAGTAATCTATTTATGGCTCTGCATAATATGAGGGCTTTACGGTACCCTGGGATTCACTGGAAGTGATCACTTTATGGGATCACTAGCAACAGAGTTCAGAATAAAATAAGGTGAGATAAGTTATAACTTTTATAATTTTTCATTTTTACAAGTCCCCGAAAATTCCTTTATGGGACCAAGAATGAAAACTAGGTGCTGGAAAAAAAAAAAGAACTAGGTGCTGTTTACTTCATTGGAAATGAAGTTCAGCAGATTCAAGGCAGATAATTAGGTCCTAGTCAATGCAACAATGGGTTCAAACATAAGAATAATTGCGAGGACAATACAGGATTGGGCAGTGTTTTTTTCTGTTGTACTTAGATTGCTATGAGTCTGAACAGACTTGACAGTACCTGCGTTATTCTGGGTAGACTAGAGAAACAAATTCATAAACATGTATTTGTATATAAGGGAGAGGAACTGAACTTTGGGAAAACATCCCAACCCAGTCCAGTCCAAGGTCATAAGTCCAATATTAGCCCATATGTCCGACAGCAATCTGTAAAGTCCTCTTCAGACTCATGAAACACATGTAATGATGCTGAATGTAGAAGATCACAGGCCAGTGGGTCGGAAGTCTTTGGTGGTAGAAGCATCTCAGCGCTGGCAGTGGTCTCCACGTGGCCATTCCAGTTCTCAGGGCTACATCAGGGTTCGTCCATGTGGTTCTCCTCAGGAATGCCTCAGTGGAAGTCAGTCTTGTCTGAAGAGAGTCTCCAAGGGAATGAGCTGAGAGAGATAGTGTCTCCTGCCTCCAAGAAGGAATGACCAGATTTCCCAGAATTCTCAGGAGAAGGCCACGCCCACACAGAAGTCTCATTGGCTATCTCCAGATTGAGATCCTAGACTCCATTCCTACACTTTTAATCCTTAAATTGACACCAGATTAGGTAACTACCACAGTACCTAACGACAACTGTCAATGCCAGAGAAGCATAAGCCCAAATTTATCAAACTCCTTACCTAATACCTTTTGAAGAATATGTCTAAGTATTCACTTCCTTTGTGGGTTATTTATACAGATTTGACCTCAATATTTATGCTAGAAATTAGCGTAATAATAATGAAAAAAGAGGTTTTATTTTTAGTGAAACAGTTACTTACATAATCATGGATTAAACAGCATTGCATAGTTTAATGGTAATAATAATGTTGTTTGGATATAAAATAATCATTTCTCACAGTGTTATCATAATCATAAATGACACCACAGTGTAACTTTATGTATTTTTCTTGTGCTCGTAATTCTAATGAGTTGATCTATTTGCCAGTGTCATATTATCTTAATTATGTACTACCTAATTAAGCTGGGTTTTTTTTCTGCCATTATAACAATTCTTGAAGTGCATGGTAGTGTATGTCTTGTTTTAGACTCTTTGTCTTACCTTACCATATGTATATTAAAACCAGCTTGTCAATGTTCAGAAAATATCTCTTGAGATTTTAATCGTAATTATGCTGAATCAATAAAATGTTGAGAGGAGAACTGATACTTCTACATTACTGAATCTGTTGGTCCTCTTCAGTTGCAGTTAATCTTTGATTTCTCTCATTATTTTCATGTTTTCAATATAGGTAATTTAGAAATATTTCATTGAAGTTATTTTTGGCCACTTGATGTTTTCAATGTGTGTGTTTCATTCATTTGGAAAGTATATACAACCAAACATACACCAAATCAACCAATTTTACATGTACAATTCAATACATTGATTACATTCTTCAAGTTGTACATCCAGCGTTGCCCTCCATTTTGAAGGCTTTTTTCTTCGCTTTCATGAACTCACTTGCCCTATCTGACCTTTGGAATTGCTGTTGTCAATGTGATCCCTGGAGGATAGTTCTTAAAAGGGTAGGATGATCAAGACAAACATTTTTAAAATGTGATTATTTTCTATA